AGACAGACAGACAGACAGACAGACAGACAGACAGACAGACAGACAGACAGACAGAAAGACAGAAAGAGACAAAGAGAGAAAGCAAGAAAAAGAAAGACAGAAAAAAGCACACTATCCTCACCACATTGATACTGCGGAGCTTCTCCTCCACCTTCGCATCAGCCTCCCTCTCCTCTAACACTTTGCTCAGCTTCTCCATGAGCAGGTCTGCGAAACGCTTGGGGTCTGTCTCGGCGATGTTACGGTCCTTTGGTGCATGCTCTGTGCGCTGTGGACAGAGAAAAAAACCCCATTCAATATACAAAATGAACCTTTTCTATTTTCTCTATTTTTTTTAGCGTTTTACGGCGCTCGCAACTGTATATGGTCAAATTATGAGCGTGTGTGGAACACGTCAAACATCAGTTGGTAGGAGATTTTGAATTTTGCTCCAGGTGGTGGCCGGAGCCCACTAATATCGAATTTAGACCACCAAGGGATCTTTAAACAAAATGATCCACATGAAATTAAATGCTATGATTATTTTCATAACTTTGCAAATCTTAGATCTATATATGCAGTGGAAATTTTCTGAGACATCCACCCAATGTCAGGACAAAAGTATATTTGTCTTAGACCAGTGAATGTCTTGGACTGTGACAATGTAATTTTTAAATGCATGATGAGTCTGTAAACTCTTTTTTAAAAACTGATACCCTAACGAGGTCCAGTTTGTGATCCTCGCGAGGTCCAGTTTCTGATAACACCCGCTCTTCCACTGAACCCTGCAAATCGCGGCCTCAGAGCTTTCTTGTTCTATCTCCTTTTTTTTTTACATTGAAAATGTGACTTCCTCTTTCAACTCAGTCTTTGCAATGAACTGTTTTCACTGTAACTAAAGATGGACACAGGCCCAGAACGCACTGAGGTCGCAAAATGCTCAGAATAAAAAACTTCCTCGATTGTGAAAACAACAGAACCAAGGGAAGAAGCAACAAACATCCCAGCACACACAGCGTGTGCCAGCATCTACCACACCGAGCCCTGGGTGAGCGCTGACTGTGAGGTTGTGGGTGAGGCCGTCCTCTCTCCCCACACCCCTCCCACTCCCCCACACCCCTCCCACTCCCCA